TTTATCCTGTTAAGGGTTTTGAGGGAGAGAGGGAGAGAAGGAGGAAGGGAGAGGGGTTGTGGCCCGGCCCAGCTGAAAGGCAGGACACACCCTGAGGCAGGTTGCCAGTCTTTTGCAGAATCACACCTACTTGAAACAAAAGATACATTTTTTGTGTTTTTTTGTTTAACTCAGACCTCATTTACATGATTCTGGATACCCGTGTGTGACTATGTGTATGAGCATGTGCTGTTGTGGCCCGAGATTAAAATATAAATCCTACAATTGACATACACTATATGACCAAAAGTATTCGCTCACCTGCCTTGACTCATACTATGAACTGAAGTGCCATCCCATTCCTAACCCAGAGTTCAATATGATGTCGGTCCACCTTTTGCAGCTATTACAGCTTCAACTCTTCTGGGAAGACTGTCCACAAGGTTGAGGAGAGTGTTCATAGGAATTTTTGACCATTCTTCCAGAATCGCATTGGTGAGGTCACACACTGATGTTGGTCGAGAAGGCCTGGCTCTCAGTCTCCGCTCTAATTTATCCCAAAGGTCTTCTATCGAGTTCAGGTCAGGACTCTGTGCAGGCCAGTCAAGTTCATCCACACCAGACTCATCCATGTCTTTCTGGACCTTGCTTTGTGCACTGGTGCACAGTCATGTTGGAAGAGGAAGGGGCCCGCTCCAAACTGTTCCCACAAGGTTGGGAGCATGGAATTTTCTTTTTTGCCAGGAGCTGGGCTTGGCCCCTTAGTTCCAGTGAAAGGAACTTTGAATGCTTCAGGATACCAAAACATTTTGGACAGTTCCAATGCGCTTTTGGAAGAATGGTCAAAAATTCCTATGAACACTCTCCTCAACCTTGTGGACAGGCTTCCCAGACGCGTTGAAGCTGTAATAGCTGCAAAAGGTGGACCGACATCATATTGAACTCTGGGTTAGGAATGGGATGGCACTTCAGTTCATAGTATGAGTCAAGGCAGGGGAGCGAATACTTTTGCTCATATAGTGTATTGTTCATAAATCAGGGACCAACAGTGTAGAATGAAAAGTCAGGAATTAAGCAGTCACTGGTCAAACGTTATCTCTTTAACACACATTTGAGCGTGGAAATCTCCAGAAGATGAGATTTCTGCATCAGGTTTATCCATTTCTGAAAGAAGAAAGCGTTAGAGTCGAGTCAAGTCGAGCCTTGACGTCGTCAGGGTGGCCACCAGCCTCTGTCTAACATGCTCGCTTTGTTTTCTCCTCTGCTTTGTTATTCACATATATTTTTTAATGTTTTTCCTCAGTGGTCTGATTTGGCCTGCAGCGAACGGCTGGTGAATCCCAGTGGAGATGTCGGCCTAAACAGTTGGGTCTGAAGTGATTATGTGAGTATAGAGTGAGAGATTCCTTCAGGGCCTTTGGGAAGCCTGCACATTCTGTGTTGACAGTAGCTATGAAGAAAGGGAGAGAGGAGGAGGGAGAGGAGGAAAGAGAAAAGACAAGAGGAGACAATGATCTCTGTAAAAAAAGTGAAGGAATCTGGGAAATTAAAGGAACATGTTGATATAAAATCCAATATAGACAATGTATACATAGATTATGTATCAACAATTCTGGTCCACTACTTCCTGTTAGCATTAGCTCTGTACTCATTTAAAACTCATGTCAACGTGAATTCTTGTATCTATTCACCACTCTGGTTGTATTGGTGCAGCACTGTATCATACTGTACAAAATGATTTTGGCATCAGATAATAATCCTCTTCTTCCCTGTGTGTACACTTCTACGCTGCAGCATTTCCCTTTGACATCTTTGAAATCTGTGCCTGCAGGCAAACATCCCAATCAGTAATTACATCCCAGGGATTTCATTCAAAGGTCTGCAACAATTGATAATTCACACCCATGACATCTCTCTATCCCATAGTTAGTTTGGCTGTGCCATTAAAATTGAAATTTCCCACTTTTTCTGTTTACTCTAAAAGACGTCCTTCAGGCATCTCGTTCTTAGAATCACAGAGTTAAGCCACGGAAAGGAGAGCTGCTGTTTATCGCTGCCTTGCAGACAAATCCACTCTAAATGGCTGGTGATTTTTTTCCCCACTCATTGGCTCAATAATCCCTCTGAGAATTTACTCAGGAATACATTGTTGACTTTGTTGGTTAACAGTCTCCTATAAACCCCTTTAAACCTGAAGGAGAAGTGTTTTTAAAAACACACCAAAAAAGAGAAATGTAAATGAACACTGACGTGCACACGGGCGTTTCAATTCACCGTGGAAGTTTTAATAACTCAGACGTCCTTGTTGAAACCAAGGCCAGAACTTGGAGCAGGAGACCTGAGTCACACACGGATGGGTCTCTCTCCTGTTGTTTCTCCTCATTTAATCCTTTTTCTCTGCCCTTGTCTTTGCATGGATCCGTCCTGATTAAAGACTCGTCTCCCGATGACCAAACATTTGACATTTCCTACTTCTCCCCATTGTCCTCTCCGCTCACCTTGCACCTTTAGCCCCGATTCCTTCAGAGTCCACGCCGTCCCTTCGTCTGTGGTACGCCCTGATAATTGAGTGAGAGCTCGGGCCCTGGAGTGCCTGTGTAATCCACACTTTATAAGCACTTTAATTGAAGTGCAAATTCAATACACTCTCATCAGCCTTTTACTGACTGTGCCTTTGCTTGCACCCCTTAGGTAATTACAAGGAGACTGGCAGTTCAATCATTTTGCAAAAAAAGTAATAAATAAAAGGAAACATAACAAAAACATAGCTGCAAACACAAATTCACTCCAATGTGTCTGTGTAGAAGGTGTGATACTGGAGGTAAAATGCTTGGCGAGACGGGCGTACCATCTGCTCTGATATCAGGAAGCCTAAAAATACATATATATATTGTGGGATTAAACAATCTTGACTACATCATGAGATTTCTCTCTGTTCTCCTGTCGCATTAGTTTCACTGCGGTCGTTTTGCCCACAAACGTGCATGTGGATACTCACACAGTGGCTGCACACTTACAGTTTTCCCCTTTGTTTCGTTACATAAAGGCAAGTGAGGTGTACACACATACACGCTGTGTATTGTTTTGGTTATATTACAGTGTGTGGGAGTGCAGTTTGCCGCTTTAATTAAACTTCCTCTATTTCTCTCGGTTTGTCCCCATAGGGCTTTGTCTTTCTTCCATCCACATGCTTATTTATTTATAATTGCATAAAACTCCAGAGCTGAGCCACGGCTGAACATGGCGCCAGCCCTTTGCAGTAAACTGGGACCCTCATAGTAATACAATTTCATGTAGTGCACCATCCCACCACCTGGGAAAATTCCATAATATGACGCATAGAGGGAGACTTTCATTAGAGAACCATTAACAAAATATACATTATTACCTTATATTAATATCTTATATATACAGATGCACTGTATATGCAGTCCTCAAGCTGAAACTCATTAGAAAAATGAATTAAAGGTGGTAACGAAGAACAAATGTTTAGGGTTTATAGTGGCAAACCTATCATAATACTTTAACAAAACAAAATTGAAAGTTTATGATTGTGACACTTCCCAAAAAAAGTCATTAGTTAAATGTTTACTAAAATAATATTGTCAAAGGTCTTTGCTGTTGCTGTGGCTAAAATATAGAAAGAGCTCAAAAGAATGCCCTAAAATGTTTCGGTGTCTTTCCACTTCTGTGTATTTACTTGAGAAGGACATTAGGATGATGAGAACATATTGGCGGGTGTTGCTGATTATTAATGACACGACTTGATTGGCCAGTCTGCTGTCCACATCGTTTCATTTTCTGAAAGAAATCAGGTCCATTATGAAAAAGAGAGATGATGACTAGTAAAGACTCAAGATCTCTATATGGTTTAGGTGTACAACCTAACCACAATAAAATAGTTAGAATAGTTTGGAGACCTACTTCATGATTTCGTGGCTATATCATTGTTTTTCTCCAGGAGGGTGAATGTCCCCAGCTGAAATACAATCCAGCTAACTTTCTTCCTTTATCTTTTATTTGACTGCCAGATTTTTTCTTCTCTCTCATTAGGTTTCCCCAAACTCCCACGAGAACCTTTTGGATGATCATCACAGCAAATGCATAGTTTAAGTGCCTTTGTTTATATGAATGTTATTCACACACTCAAAAGAGAAATTCACATTAGGATATTCTTGTAACATAGTTAAATAACCTACATGGGCAACTGCCCACATGTGGCGACTTAATAACTTCAACACTGCCTACTCACATCTGCAAATAAATGTGCATGCACACCACTTTTAAACACCCAGACTGCTGCCAACAATCAAATTCATATTACATTACATTTTCTACATTCCACCAACAGACAAATGAATTTGATTGTTCTAAACACATTTTATATTCTTGGTGTATTATCTGTGTCCTCTATGTCTAGTCAGCTCGTCTGCTTCTCTTTCCACCTTTGATGACCCACTTTCCCAAAGGTAATAACTCACAGAAACAGCCCATATGGTCAATTTTCTGCGCTGAAATAAGAAAAATCTCAAACGTGTGCTCATTGGGATTGAATTTCTGTAAATAAAATTACAGCAATTACTGGGTACAAACAAGATGGAGATGGAGATGAAGTACAAAATGAAAAGCGCTGGGATACATTTTAAACAGCACCAAGTAAAAACAGACAAATGTAAAAAAATACTTAAAAAATTTGTCCTGGAGCTGATGGGTTTAATTCATCTGTATCACATGAATGTCTGTTGTTCTTATGGATTTTATTCTTTCTTAAACTGAATTTTATTACTGGGAATCCTGGTTGTTTACCCTTCGTTATGGTGCATCAACAAAACCAGCCATGTTATATTACAGCACACAGAACATTCTGAGCCACAGCTGCCTCTATCCTATGGTACAAATGTCCTATGACATTGGTGATATATTTATTTTTAGTTTTACCAGCAGTATGATACAACAACAGTTAAATTATTGTGAGCTAAATTATTAGCTTTAGGTGCTGGGTTTGGTGGAGAGGTGTTTGTGTTTCCATATTCTTAACCAAAGTCTCAAATTACTCTATATTTAAACAGGTTTGGTCCCTAATATTTCAAATATTTTTTATAAAACAGAATTGTTCTTTTGGTAAAACTGTTGTTTTTCTTGTGACGTTTTCTGTGTTTTCTGTGACGTTGTGTAAACGTCACAGCCTCGTCCCGGAAGCGCTCTGTCAAAAACCTCAATCTGTTCGCTACCTGCGAAACACGTGAGTTCTTCCACTCGTGACTATATGCCCGTGTATATCCCATCGAGCAGCGGTTATGTCGGTCCCTGACGTTTGGTGGACGTGCGGACGTCAGTAGACGAAGTTCGGCGAAGGAGTGCCGAATGTGAAGGTAATTAAAGGTGCACGTGTCAGTGTTATCTGTGAGTCTGAGATCCAAATGCTGAGACATACAGTGCAGTTAGTTAAGATAATCCACTTTGAAATGAAAATAGTTCTTCTAAATCCAAAATTCAGAGAGAGTTTAACTGCATCATGTATTTAGTGAATAAATACATTTAAATAGAGAAAATAGTTGTTTTACCAATATCACCATTTAAAGAAAGCTAGATAACATAATAATCCAGAGAGAGTGGGCAGTAACACAGAGAGGAATAACCCTGTGTGAGTGATGTCACTCCCTCAGCTGTCGTGGACCGGTGAGATACAGACTCGTCTGTCAGGATTACTACATTAAATTCAAAGTATCAGCTGTCGATCACGTCATTGATTAATTAGTGTCAAATGAGGTGTAATTTAACACCAGTGAAAGGTGCCATGGAACAGTCACTGTTGCCTGTGCTGATTCATTGTCAGAATGATGCACTGAAGGTGTCTCCTGCTTGAAGTACATTTTTAAAGACAGACACATATCCAAAATGTATTTTAATATTTTGTTTAATAAAACAAATCACTTGGAGTAATTATTATTAATCTTAACAACCAAAATTAGTTTTTAAATTAAATAATTTATATAAATTTTATTCTCTTGTGTCACAGTTCTTTCTGTGTTTTTGTTTTGTTTTTAATGGACGTTTCTCCAGCGTGTATGAATAATTCGGAGTTTCTTCAACAATCTGTTTATTTTCCATGTCATTCTATGTGTATTTGGTGATGACGAATAAATAAAGAAAAAAAACAAAAAAACAAAACAACTTGAATTGATTTCTATGTTCTACAGACTGAAATGGGCTCACTTGGCTTAATTAATCATTTGGACACTCCTTTTTTAATAAACTGTATGTCATGTAGATGGACATAAAGACACTATCGCTGCCTTTGTAACGACAATCAACACAGTAATTAACACAAACCCGTAAACACCGCTCAGGTGCCTGTGGAGGCTGTAGCTCTACAGAGAAGGTTTCCTTGTTGCTGCGTTGTTGTTTTGCTGCATATTTAAGAAATCAATGTTTGCCATCTGTTTGCTAAACAAAGTCTTGTTTGGAAAATTCAAGATGCACCAATAACAGCCCAGACAGCACCTCTGGGCTTCTATTGGATTGTCTCGGCTGTCAATGACACACAATTTCCACTTGTGCTGTTGCCTGATGCCGTGAATTTACAACTTAGAAAATGAGTTGTGTGTTGTTCAGTACAACCTGAAACCATTGGAGTCCAAATGAGAGAAGGATCATATTTACACAAGTTGTAAGAGAAAAACATTTCATTTGAAGTCAGAGTCAGTGTAAAGACTCTGAGACTCTTTGACTGTGTATTTTCATATATGTTCTGTGGCTGTCATTGTGGCATCGTGCTTTAATGCATGTTTCATTTTAACGTTTTGTAGTTGTATCTGTTTGGGCCGTACTGTAGGAATGATTTTCTCGATTGCTAAAAGCAAAACTGCAATTGCTGTGACTGGATTTTTTTTAAAAGAAGTAACTTTTAGTAGTGGCCAAGCAAAGGCTTTACAGATACAGAGACAATAAGAAAACAAAATGTACAGTCAGACCTCCGGACTGGTATATAACCATAGGGTTGTTGGTACTTAGCAACAGGGAATAAACGATCACTTTAATTTTTTAAAATGTTTTCTAACATGTACTGCGACCTTTTTTTTTTTTTTTTTTTTTTTTTTTTCAATTTTTGGTAAAATGAATCAACATTATCTGTTTTATTAACAGTTTAATTATATCTGGAATGGGATTAATGAGAATTGTTTGATTCTAATGAGCTGGTTCTCGTCTTACCCTGTGCATTCTTAAAGCCTTTCTCTCAGTTTCAGAGCTTTGTTTCCACTCGGTTGTGCCGGAATGGTGTGTACGTGCAGGCTGCAGTGTGGGTGCTGAGAACGGCTCTGAATGGAATTCTTGTTTAATTTAAGTGTACAAGTGAAAATATTTGAATCTCAAAGATAACTTGCATTTGCATTTTTATCATGTTACTCTTCCTGCATTGCTGTCTGACATATTCATTACATATCAGACTGTCAGTGGAAGTGACTTACAGAAATATTGGTATAAAAGTTTGGAAGAGTAATTGATTTTTTTTTTAAAGCTGCTACTCCATCTGTGAAAAGAAAGTGCTGTTGTTTTCAAGCAATATTTGATTTCAATATGTACAGTTTAGTGCGGCGGCTGGGTGTGGTTCATCAATGTATTATGCCTGTAAATGAAAATCCAAGAATAGAAAATTAATTTATGCCCATGGTGGACTTGAAATTCAACACAACCTCAGCTTATTGTCCCATCAGTCACAGAAGACTGGCTTGTGGTTTTATGTTTACCATTGGGCTAAATAGTCATAGCTATGGAGATAGTATGACACTAAATAATTTATATTAAAAAGCATTTTATATTTGTGACCAGTACAGTGAAACACACATTGGCCCTGCAGAGAGTTCTACAGAACTTCACATTCATTATCACATTAGTCATTATTTTTAATGAGTTTCAGACTAAAGCAGAAGGTAACACATTTTAATTAGTTTTAAGCTAAGTCTTCATGTGGCATTTGAATCACTGGCGAAACTAACTGTCAATTATCTGTATACACTCAGTAGTTTCACAAAACCAACACTGCACATATGATGCCAGTGATGACGCTGGATCTCGTACAAATTACATTTGCTGCATGCACACAACGTACACTTGGTGGCATTCAGACCTGGTGCTCATTTATTTTGACACTCCCCTTTTGTAGACACCTGACTGGAAGCTCTCCATTCTTTTTTTTTTTAAGTCATCCTGGGCCTGGAGATATGGCACAACAGCATATAAAAAGTGGCATATTTCAGGTTCAAGAGCAGCGGCGCCCAAAGTACGTTAGACCTCTAAATATAGCCAGGAACAGTGACAGCCCGTATCCAGATACCTGTGAATGTGCACTAACACTGACAAAACATTTTCAGGAACTCGTAGTTCCTGTAAACAATTGTAATTTTTCACTGGGGTATAATTACATGACAAAAATCCCTTGCAAAAGAGAAAATAATGGCTTGTAAAAATATACTCCAAGTTCTCAGAATAAATGTATAAATGGTGATAATCAACTTTTTAAATTAAATAACATAAATAAAGGTGTTATACAACTGTCCATTCACTCATCATTGCTTTAGTACACAGTGAATACATGTCATTTTCACAATCAGCAGTAAATACTTTTTGTCTCACCTTGACTTTACAGTTCCATCCTGACTCCCAACATGTTTTTGCGAAGGTTTTGACCTCAGGTCAGACCAGCCTCACCATGTACCCTAAAAAATAAGGGAACACAGTGGCAGTATCCTGCTATTCATCGTGCGTTGGTTCTAAATGAAAACACTTACCTTTGCAGGTTTTACTAAGAATATATCATTGTGTCCTGGCTTATTGCAATTTCTGACTGTAGTAACTTAAAAGAACAAACACAAAACTGTTATGTTTTTTTTTTTTTTTTTCAAATTAAAAATAAAATAAATTGTAGTAAAGCAAACAAGAACAACTGCATGGGTGGTGCACTGATGATTCATGCTGTTAACAAGATCAGGCTGGAAGGGAAAGGCCAGATGCTTGGCTTCCTAAGCTGACTTGTGAGCATCAAGAACGGTAATGAGACAGGTGGCTTTTCCGTAGGTTTTGCACCTGGCACCTGGGAGATATTTTTTTGGTTTGTGGGAGTTTGTGTGGAGGGAAAAGAGGCAGTTGGTTTGTTGGAGCAGTGCTTGGTCATTTGCTCGCTTGTATTCTACATAAACACTCGTCACATTTCTCTTACAGTCTTACGTGCCCAGCTGTTCCTCTTGTCGACTGTGTTCATTTAGCCGGTGCTGTATATTAAGCTATTCAACCACTCTGTTAGATGTTCTTTACGCACAAGTGGCCAGCTGCCTGCCGTCCCCCCCACCCTTCCTCATCCCCCTCCTCTTCTTCATACACTACGGGATGTAGCCATTTGGCTTATTTATTGTAGGTGCTTCTTTAACAGCTGGGAATGGACCATGAGCCAATCAAAACAAATAGCGGAGGCCGCGCTAATAGAATCAAACAGGAATGGAGTCGCAGTGGCCGCTCAGGCATCGTAAAGCTGTCGCTGTTTAAACCCCTGTATTTGTTGCCATCACCTGCCTGCCTCAAACCTTTGCGTTGCTTGTAGAAACGTGCGGCCTGAGACACTGTTACTCATCTCTGGTTATCCCAGCATCACTAAATTAGATTTAAGGGCAGGGATTGGTCAGTCTGTACATTTACATTTTGTGTTGTCCTTTCTCATTTAGAGTATTTTGACAGGGAGCTTTAGGAAAGTGACTGAACACTTTTACGTTTACCTCCCTGTTGGAGTCGTTTGCATGTTTTCCTGTGTATGTTTTTGTGGCTAAGGTCTAGATGCTACTTCATGTATCCTCAGCCCAAAAATGCAGATTGGAAAGTAGGTAAAATAGAGACAAAGTGTCTTTAGTCCAGTATCGTTTCTATTGTGTAACAGTTAGACATGTATATGTTGGACATGCATGTTTTCTGAGGTGTTAGGCTATATAGCTTATGACGAGTCTTTCCAAAATCTCTAGGTAACGTCCAGGTAAGCAGTTCACCATTACAGCAATAAACTTTTTAGTCTATTGTAAACTGCTAATTTGACCACAAGGCAGTTCACATAGAGGGCATTATTTTGGGCATTTCCCTTTGGTAATGTTATTATTTCCGCACTTACGTGAACTGCCTACTCTGTAAAGTACCCAAAATACAGAAGGGAAATATCAGATACTGCTGTCAGTATTGGTAACTTTTAGGAGATGGAGAGATGACCCTGCAGTCGTCCGTCATGAATGAGTCCAGTGTGTCTTCATGTGCCCATCTACTGGTGGAAGCACATGACAGAGAGCTGCAGTCTGAAAGGTCCTGGCCATTAGACTTAACTGTCAGTTATTTTCTA